GCGTTTCAATAAAAATGAATATTTTGAGCGTCTCTTTGATATATTTGATATTTCACAAAGTTCATGCGTACGTAAATCTATATAGCTTATAACTTTTCAAAAATCCCCGTAGCTATAAATAAATCGCATTAAATTTATTTACGGAAAAAAAGGCAATATCATATATTTTTTAAAAGATCATTCTTATGTTTTAAGTGAAGCAAAACGTAAAGTAAACATTACATTGCAATATTAAAAAATAGCAATAACATATTTAAGAGTATGTAAATGTAAAGTAAACATTACATTGCAATATTAAAAAATAGTAATAACATATTTAAGAGATATAAAGATACATTATATAAACAAATAAAAATAAACTAAACAAAATATATTTGTAAAAATACTCTGCCTATTTATGATAAAAATGAATACGCAATTTTTGCTTGGCTCTTGGAAAATTAATTATAATCAGCGCAATGTTTAACGTGCTAGTAATTATGACCGATCAAACTCAGACGTCGCGATAAAAATGTTTGCCGACGTCTAAGTTTAGACACATTTAACTACTTGTGAGACATATTTTCCAGATTAATTTTTACCGCAGTAATAATAAAAAATTCCAAAATAAATATGTAACAAAAATATGAAAAATCCGTAATAATGATATAATATTGATTTTACAATCCGCTATTTTACATGCGAGCTCCTAATATTTCCTACAAGCCAGCATAAGCGTTGTAGAAGAAAAAAAAATATATACGTGCCATGTATTAATTTCGCATTTATGACAAAGATATAATCGTTTCGATAAAAATCTCCCGATCCTTTTCTATTCTACAGTCGAATGTCGAACCGACGTTTCTCACAACTATATTTTTTTAAACAGCCCGAGCCTCCCCCCGATTTAAACTCCGAATCCGGAATATCAATGGATTTTCTTGGATGATCGATTCCGGTTCACTTTCGTCTCCAATAAGCTTTTCCTCTTGAGCGCTCTCGCACGTGCGATACATCGATCGCGCATCGTCGGCAGCATCCACCCGGATTATAACGGCATTTAATACGGACAAAGTCGTAAGCGCTGATTTATCATTGTCACGGCCGTTACTCTCTCATGCGAGCACGTTACAATCGGCTCTCTGTCGCAATTCGAGCACGGCAATGCAGCGAAACCGGTGACCGGCCACCTCGCCGCACCTGCGTCCGTTCTCGGTGCAAGTGGTTATATTTGTAGAGTATTCGTATATACGCTCTTCTTTCCCTGCGATCTCGTGCAGGCCAAGTATGTACGCGGAAAAGAAACGACTTGCACTCGGCCGACTGCCAGATCGCTATATTTATCACAACGTGCCGATTACAGCTGTAAAAAGTTCTGTGGGAACGGAAAGCACGGATCCCGTAGTATCTATCAATCACCGGAATCATCAATATACTTCCCCATGAATGTACGCTCATCCTTCGCGAAATAAATCCTTTAAATGTTATGTAAATTTATAACAAAGCTCGTTTTTTTGTATATGAAAGCGTTGGTTATATAACTCGCGCGATATCAATTTATTTATATATTTATCGATTAAACATAATAATTATAGCTGTAATAGAAGTGAGAAAATAACGTGGAGAGACCTCTAGGTGACTTTTAAGTAAACATGTTTGGTTTGGATGTGTGAAATGTAGAAATGATGGCGCGATGAGTTTGATGGGTAAAATTTTAATTTTTAAAATTTGCATCAATAATTTTTTATCAAAAACATATCTCAACAGTACCTCTTTTTAACCTAACAAGGGAAGGTCGCGACTTTTCACCGATTTTGATCTCCTTTGGTGTGGTGAATCTACATCGAAAAAAAGTTGATCCGTGTTCAAGCTTTTCGTCCAATGCACCATGTAAAAAAAATTTTTTTTACATGTTGCATTGGACGAAAAGCTTGAACACGAATCAACTTTTTTACAAAGTTTAGAGAAATTGCCAGGTTCGTTATCAGGCCTAAAAAAAGACACACTTTCAATCGGTGCCGCTAGTCCAGTGGTAGAGCGCAAGAATAGTAATCCCAGGTTCTCAGGACTTTGGGCTGTCATAATCTTTTTATTTTTTTTTATTTATATATATATATATATATATATATATATATATAATTCATATATATGTATATAACATGTTAAATAAATATTCAGCATACTAATAATGTTAGAATACACACTTTTCATTTTTCATAGCTTTACAAAATCGGTTTTTCTACCTGCTGTGAACCGTCGTTAAAGTATCGTTACAGAAAACGTTACGCGGGGGGAAGGGGGGAATTATCTGCGAGAGAAGATGCTATAAAAATCCATTCTCTCATTCACCATCAACTTTCCGTTGATGCATTTTTAAATATGATACAATATGCATGGTACCCATCAAAATTAATATCAGAATGAAAATTTTTTTCAAATGTCAACATTTGAATTGAACGTTCAATGTTTCAAACATTCAATTCAAATGTTGACCTTTGAAAAAAATTTTCATTCTGATATTAATTTTGACGCGTACCATGCATATTGTATCATATTTAAAAATGCATCAGCGGAAAGTTGATGGTGAATGAGAGAATGGATTTTTATAGCATCTTCTCTCGCAGATAATTCCCCCCTTCCCCCCGCGTAACGTTTTCTGTAACGATACTTTAACGGCGGTAACATCCAGCGGTTCACAGCAGGTAGAAAAACCGATTTTGTAATGCTATGAAAAATGAAAAGTGTGACAGCCCAAAGTCCTGAGAACCTGGGATCCCGGGATTACTATTCTTGCGCTCTGCCACTGGACTAGCAGCACCGATTGAAAGTGTGTCTTTTTTAGGCCTGATAACGAACCTGGCAATTTCTCTAAACTTCGGGAAAAAGTTGATTCGTTAAAAAATTTTTTTTACATGGTGCATTGGACGAAAAGCTTGAACACGGATCAACTTTTTTTCGATGTAGATTCACCATACCAAAGGAGATCAAAATTGGTGAAGAGTCAACCGCGACCTCACCTTGTAAGAAATCTCAGGTATGTGCTAAGATGATTAAAATTAGTTATTTCGGTCTTAGTTAAAATTAATTAAAATTGATCATCTTAAAATATTTCTTGGAATATTAAAAAAAATAAATTATTTTTATGTTAATGATTTTTATTCTTATTTGTAATGATACTAAATAACTTCAAAACAATTTTTAATGTTTTTTATCTTTTTGACATTATTATCATAAATAAGAGTACAAAGTTATTAACATAAAAATAATGTTTATTATTTTATCAACATTTTAGGAACTTGTAGAAAACATAAACTTTAAAAATCTAACAGCTGAGAGATATTGAAAAAACGTAATGAGTCGCAGCAAAAGAAAAAGCAAAAGAAAAAAAAGAAAGAGAGAGCAAAAAGAAATAAGAGAATAGGGAGAGTTTGACGTCATAATTTTCATGTAACCGATCGATGCATTCAGGTGAATTGTAATTTAATTGGCAGACGGAAAATAATCGCGGCAAAGTGGATCACCGCGATTGTCTAAGCGAAATAATAATAACGATATTCTCGTCCGTCGTCTACATCACGGCTATGACGTAAGCAGATATCGGGCACAAACGGTGACGAACGTTTGGAAATATTGGACGACCGCGAGGTAGTGATAACCCAAATCGTCCTATAATAGCGCTCAATTATTTATCTACCGTTGTTCGATTCACCGCAAGTGGCACAGAGAGAACAGATCATAATTATCAGCAATAAAATATTGCCGGAGCAAGGTTCGTTTTTAAATAAATGTCGAATACTTCTAACAAAAAATTAATGTTGGAATATATTATATGAATCTCGAGTGAAATATATAGATGAGCAAGCTTATATGATACATCTCTCTCATCGCCCTGAAAAATAGGATTATTAAAATAAAATCCAAGCGATTAATATTAATAAAAAAAAACAATCATAAAAAATTTGTCTAACATGAATGATAGATGATGATTATTTTTTAAAGAGAATGCGCGCAATATATTATTACAGATCAGAATTACGTTCATTTTGATAAATATTCAATCTGTAACCGAAAATTAAATAAAGTATAAGATTGTGCGACCTAAATACTGAACTTAGTAAATTTTAATGATTTAGTATTATATGTGCATGTGTAATAATATATATATTTTTGTATATGTGATGAAATACTTTAAATCGTATCATATTTAATGTATGTAACAATGTAAATTAAAGTTGAGAAAATTAATCAATAGTTTTTCTATTGTAATTTAATCCGCACACATTTTATAGTAATAAATTTATTATATTAAAAATGTTAATGACGTTATAAACGTATCATTATTTTTCAAATTTAACTTAATAAATGTTTCATAATTTGTTTGCATGTGTTAGAAAAGATTGTTAAACTCTTTAACCCAATTTCTGTCGAGCAAGTTTATGATTCTAAAAGTAAATCGATTTTTTTTATAAAAATAAAATCTCAAGTTAAAATTTGATATTTTATACAAATCGACGATATGAAGATAAATTTTAAAATTCATGAAATATTTTGATATTCGTAATGTGATTTTCCGGCTTTTCGCGGATTCGCAACTTTAATAATGCCTTGTAGCTTATCATGATATATATATATTATTATTTGTACAAACGAGACTATTTCATTTAAAATCTCCTATTAATAACTTCCAATATTTTTTGATTATTAATTATTATCAAATAAATTCTCAATCGAGTCAATATAGAACATAAAATCGATATTCAAACAGAATCTATAATATAGAGCATGAAATATCGATATTGGAGAAAATGCTAAAGTTATTTGTATGTGTATTAATAAAATCAATAACAATTATTAGCAGAAATTGCAATCTCATCGACAATCGCGATTTAGCAGCCTTAGCGCAGCCAACCACCACCGTCATCACCACCATCACCGTCATCACCATCACCATAACCACCATTAGCAGTGAGCAGCTTATGGATAATCCGCTCGCGATCTCGCGTTCCGTTTATCTGACTTACACTTGTTCCAATGATCGTGACGTTGCGCCGCGTGATGCTCGAGATTCCGATGATGGTCGTGATTGTTGTTGGTGTCCGCGGCGATGGTGACCTGATGGTACGGCGTGGTCAGATGGATCGGTGCCGCCGCCGATCGCTCCGATTGTTGTTGCTCGACGCCCAGATGCCGGGCGACGGCGATGGCGCCGCGATGCTGCTGATGCTGATGATGATGATGATGATGATGATGATGGTGATGCGCCGCGACGCCGACGGCGGCGGCGGTCGCTTCCGCGTTGCCGGTGCTGTCCTCGACGGTGGTAAGCATCGCGTTTCGTTCAATCGCGATCACGACTGCTCATCGGGTGACCGCCGATCGCGATTGCCGTGGCATCCCGCGCGATCGGAAATGCGTGAAACGAGATTTCGAGAATGTCGCGCGATCTATAGATCCGCGCGAATCTCTCGAGACGGTGCGAGTAAAGCCTCGAGCGGGGATTCAGGTGGAAATCAATGCACTGGACTGCGAATTGCTCGCTCCGATCGGCGTGGACATCGAGGATCTAGATTTATTTAGATCCTAGACGAAGGATCTGACATTTGACGCCGAATACGTATTCGAAAAGTCCGTTCGATCCTTGAGATCGTGCAAAAATGAGATCGAAATGTTTCGCACAGCCCACACGCCGACCGGTTGTCAAATCGTGTCACGCTCGAGAAAATGCAAAAAGCTGGCATTCAGTATCGGTACATCCCTTTAATGAAGCATGCGCGCCGCGCCGTCTGGCGGGTGGACGGCAGGAGGGAAGGAGAGAGGGTGAAGTAGAAACGGTGATAAATGGTCAGACTCACGACGAAACACGGTCGAAAATCCTTATGCGAATGCCACGAATGGATCGAACGCGTGCTTTCTCGACTGTGTCATCGTTGATACCGACTCTAAAAAAAATGTACAAAAAGAAGGAAAGAAACACACACAGGAAGAAAGAAGAGCGGAGGGAGAAAAAGAAATAAAAGGCGAAGAAAGAGGACCCCCTGCCGTCGAATCGGTGGAGAACGCGGCCGCTCCGCGATTCTCGCACATACACAACACACAAGAGCAGAGCGACAGTCTCCTCCCGCGCAACAAACGGAATGAACAAACGTGAGACCAGCGCACGTGATGTATCACCGACCTGCGTGCGTCGTCGTAGGGCAAGGAAAGTCCTTCCTGATGATGTTGTCGGAGGTCAGCACCCCACCGAGGAGCCCGAACACTTCCGCTCTGGGCACTCGCATGCAGAATCCAGATACCTCTTCGCCGCTTATTGCGTCCTCGTGGCGGATGACATCCTTGCTCTTCCTGTCGAAACTGATCCTCGAACGCCGCTGTCTCGTCCTGCTCGAAGAAGGCCGGTAACAGCCGCGATTACCATTCAGCACTGACAGCCGATTGACGGATCGTCACTCCGGAGCCACCGACCGCGACGATCAACACGCGGGGAGACGCGACGAGAGATCGCACAGGTGTCCCGTGTCGCGAGGCTACGAACGTCTACGAGCCACCCCCGAGCGTGCAATTTGCCTCGCGATCTCTCAACGGCGCGGAAGTGAATCGGCTCGGTGCTCGGCGTCGATCGGTGCCGAGCGAACGGAGAGGGAAAGATCGAATGAGAGACAGGTGAAAGAGCTTGCGAGAGAGTGTGGAACCTTCAGTTACCCTGGAGAGCGGTACACTCGCACGGGTGGCCGGCCGCCGCGTAACTGAGTCCGGAACGCGCGCGTTCCTCCGCTATATTAAAACCGTACCGTGTGTAGCGGCGGCGACGGTGGCTGCGACCGCGGTGCGGAGAGGTGCGAAGAGCGGAAGGCACCGCGGCGACGGGAGGCGAACGGCGCTAACGATGACGTCATCTCGGACGTCATAACCCGGGACGCGCACACGGCAGCGACTAACGGCGGATCGATGGACCGGACCCGAGTGTGAGCGCACCTATTGGCCCACGCGGCCGATGATGCCGTTACGGTGACGTCAACCCACCGCTCGCCCGACCGTACCCCTTTCGCCCCTTCCCACCTCCCTCATCGTCTCTTCTTTCTCCTTTTCCGCCCCCGCACACCCTCCGACACTCGCTGTTTCAACCCCACGCAAACCTCGAGGCAACGACGGCACGCGAATGATATCGCCGCATCTCTCGAAATTGAAGAGGGAGGGAAAACGAGCGAGGGAGGAGGACAGAGAGAGGGAAGAAGAGACACGGACTCTAAATTCGTTTCTTTTGCTTCCGCGTTTTTTTTTGACGTTTGCAGATAGTCACGATTTTTGTAAACGTCACGTAATTATGTTACACGATTACGATGTTACTTCTTTTGCAGGCTGTGTTTGTTAGACTTTATGTGCTATAATTGAATGCAGCGTGTGCGAATGTGATACGATTATAACGTTACGATGTTACATAAAATCTTTTTGATATATTACGATGTTACATTAAAACCGCTTTTTCATGAAAGAAATTTTTGTCCCTTCCCTCGCTCGTTCTCTTTCAGATGTCTATGTGAATTTTTTCATTGTAATACTTGCTGTGATTATATAAGAATAATAAAAAAATATATTCTTTAATCATCTTATGTACTTTCTGAAATACTGAATAAAAATAATATATATCTATATGCATATAATAATATATTAAATAAGAAATAAAATGAAAAATAAATAATAAATAAAAATATATTATATATTATATATTTTTATTTATTTATTGAAAAAATAGAAATATTTTTTAATTTTCTAGAATGAAATAAAGTGCTTGCATAGATCTCTTTAGGGAGGAATTTCTTTCCATTGAAACTACATCTTATATTAGGATTTATTTATTTAACTGTGTCATGGGATATAAGAAATCCCTCAGACTTCAATTCAGTTTGCTAATAAAATTAATAAGCTGGATATTAAATCTATAATTAAACGTGAAATTGATACCCACTTTGGTAGTCATAAAAAAATAATCAAGAAATGAGAATTATTCAATTGGATGACGATTATGTAATACGTGCCAAGTGTTAACAGGCCCATTATCATTTGTTTTATCCATTGTCGTATATAATACCACGATCAATATGAGCAAAAAAGAACTTATATCGTTTATAGCCGGTTTTGTAATATCAATGAGAAGAGATAGCCACTACCAATATATGCAGCGATGCAACGGAATGCGGTGGCGCGCGCAGACCTGCTGTCATTATTAATCTAAACCTAGGAATGCGCAATCCATCTGACCTCGTAATGTAATCAGACGCGATAGCTGACAGTTATCGTATAAGAAAGTGATGGTAATTCACTATTTTGTCTGCAACGATCTAAGAGCTTATTGGTAATTATCGTAAATCTAGGAAAATCCTAATGGCAAATAATTCCCTTTACAAGCATGATGTTCATCTTCGTGTAATGATGCAACGAATCAGGGGGATTATATTTTTCTTAGAAACTTTTAAAGCTTACGTAATAAGAAAATTAAGTTACTGAACAAATGGATTTATTTTTGTTATAATTTTTTCTTTTTTCCTTATAAAATTTTGAAAAGATCTGATAAAAATACGTCAAATTAATATTTTTATAAAATATCGAATACACTCTTTACGTGACAAAAATTGTATCCCCAAAAATCGAATTATTTTTGTTAACAGTTGTCCCATTTTAAAATATAAATCCATCATAAATATCGAGCAAACACAATTAAATATTTCTAAGGCATCACAATAAGGCTATCACAATGGGAATTCTCATGACATCTGGATACTCGTCTCATTGTTCCAAATCCTTTCGAGAATCCACTCGCGCAGACTCGACCATTCGGAACAGGCGTTTTAATACGTCATTAATTCATCTGCGGCGTCACTCCAGGATAAAATGATGACGCCATCGTTTTCTCCCACTACGACCAACTATGACGTCGTCCACGTCACTCTTATTGCTTCTGCGCGTAGACGAGCTACGACAAGGAAGGGTTGTTACCGAGAAAGGGAAATAGAAAGAGACGGGATGAACGAGAGAAAGAGAGAGAGCCGCTTTTCCAACGTCGATTTCTACCACCGCCATACGACCTCCATTCATGCATCATCCGATGCACCCCGCGCGTCCATCCAGTTCCTTCGCACCCCCCCGCGCCACCAACATCTCTCTTCCACCCCTTTTGCACGCGGTACACGCGTGGCAAAGCGGAGGCGTCAGCACGAGTCGATGTCGCCCCTGTTTAATCAGCCATAAGACAGCACTTCGACACGTGACGAAACACTGAAAACTCGTGGCCGGCTTCTGTGATATCGTCGACGTGCCATCACCTGTATGAAGCGATCGCTGATCCGGAAGAACGACGACCGAAGGGTAAGGTCGACTTCGATCCGATCGCGATAGGGTAGAATCGGCGACGCGCTCCGTTCGGAGAACGCTTGTCTCTAAATCCGAGCGCATTAAAGCGCATTAAATCGAAGCGAGCCTTAAAGCTGCCCGTCTTAGAGCGCGTCTTGTCCAAGAACAGCTGTTCCACTGTCATCTTAATAAATATTTATTAAGCAATCTTTTGCTACATAAAAGTTTAATTATATTTCTTCATTTTTAATTTCTTACGTCCTGAGAATTAACAATTAAATTCAATGTTGCAAATTTGTCCAAGCATAAAATCCAAGCATAGAATCTCTACATGTATAATAGCAAACAGAGATGCATAGAGATAAATGTATTATATCCTTAACGCGATATTGTGAAAGCGCAATCGACAATACGAAGCAAGGAACAACACACTATAACAAGAATCAACTGACATTCACGATAGTATAACGAGCACAATTATCGCAATTGATTGTGTCGTGAGATGCACATAAATATTAGTAGTAAGATAAAGGCGGATAAAGACATTCGCCATCGGCAGAATCGCGTTGATTTTGACAAGTCAGTGTTCGACGATGAACGACACGCGTATCCTCGAGCTAAAAGCACGTAGATAATATATTCTTTTCACAATCGGCTTCCTATCGGCAAATAGACGTATACGATAATACGAACATGCTTGAGTAACTTGAACTTTGACAATCGCCGTTGTCGACAAATCGCAATTCAATATCCTGGAATTTATAATTGAAATTATTCGCTCTTTACTAATGTTATTCGCTCTATGAATCGCTTGTTACAATTGCGACATTCATTATGCCAGTAGGTCTTTCTGATATTAATGACAAAGCGTGCAGAACGTGCAATATTCTGGCGCCACCTTGATTAATTAGCAAGATTGAGTAATTAACAATCGCACCGGAGAAAGAGACAGAGAGGTAATGGCTTCGAAATAAATTATCGAGGTTTCGTGTTGCACCTGAGATAATCAATTTTTCAAGATTACCGTTAAGATATAAAGATTAATAATATGTTTTTGCACTACTATCATTTATTATTGTTTCGTCACAAATTGATCTTATTTGCTAAATAAAAGAAATGGAGAGCATAAAATATTTCGAAATTCGGAAGGTAAAGAGGTACTTATTCCATATCTAAAAGACAAAAATAGCTAGAGCCAAAATTAATACATGATACATCGCGTTTCATATAAATTATTTAATATTTATAAATATCGAAAAAATATCCAATCATTGTATAATCATTGTATAACGACAGAAGCAAATAATGAACTTTAAATCTATTCATTATTATAAGATTTAGTTTTTATTTCCAATGTAAATTATGATATGACTATTAATGAAAATAAATTTTCAAATGTAAATTATGATATGATTTATTAATGAAAATCTGCAGGATAGTAAATATGTGCAGTAGAAAGTATTTTTATTTAAAAATGAAATTTAGTTACAGCCTGTTACTCAAATGTCAAATAAAACTTCGTCATAATTTTATAACTTCGTTATAATACATTATCATTAGATTACATTACATTGTATGATATCTCTCTCTCTCTCTCTCTCTCTCTCTCTCTCTCTCTCTCTCTCTTTTTCCCCAATATAAAATTTTTCCCATTATAAATTTTGCATTTAAGTAAAAAGAATATTATATAATCAATGATAATTATTATTTTATGAGATAAAAGTTAGTTAAAATTAATGTAAAAATAACAGATTTTTTTATTTGACTTTATTCTTGAAGATTAATATGTAAAATCCTACCTCTCTTACAATGTTAAAGAACTCTATATCTATAGATATCTCGGCATTAAAATGTTATTTTTTTATATATTGACCTCTAGTTAGTTAAAAAAATAGAGACATTCTGCAGATT